TTGACACTTCGCTTAAATATAATTTATCCACGAAATAGTAACATTTATGTTTACAGGATTTAAGTCAAAATGCTTAGTATATTCAGAGTTATAGGACAGGTGACTTCAAAAAGAAGAAGAAATTATTCTAAGCAGTATGCAGGCTCTGTTAATGAGATGCAATCTGTATCACTTTTAACACTTCAATAGCTTATCTTAAAGGAAAAAGCTATTTAAGTCATTTGGGTAGATCAGAAATTCTGCTAGTTTCAGTCTGGTCCCCTGCCACCTACCCAGTCGTACAAGAGTGATCCAGAGTATCTGACTTTCAAATGAAGGATGTGAAAGTAATACCAAAAACAGTGTTTATAAAAACTTTTTTTAAGAAGTCTCTAGAAGAAAGAATTTAGCAATCAGGATTTTTTAGTAGCCTGAAAAATCTCCTAAATGAGTGGGGGTGAATGGGGGTGTTTGTTGATTATGGAACAATTTAGTGTTCCAATCTATTTTGAGCACATAGAGGGAGTGCTTAATAACACTAGAGAAATGCAGTGTTTTGCTGTCAGTGAGTGTGCCACACACTCACCTCTTCCACATCCTGCCTCCATCTTTGCTTCCCCTCAAACTAGAGAGTTACAAACCATCATGTAAATTCCATCCATCAGTAATAACTTTGGCTAGAAAGAGACAGACTGTTAAATTTCAGCTTCATGTCAGACCAGAAAGGTACAGTTTGGTCAGTTTAAATCATTCCATACCTAAGGATAAGCAGCTGCTGCTCCTGAAAAACAGAAGATGAAAACCTGATCACAGATGCTGATGGTGTTGTCTTAATGCTGGGATGATGACAGCAATAGCAAGATTTTGATCCAAACATTTTGACACTCAATTCCAAATACCATCAGAATGAAAGGTTTTGCCATGCCTGACAACATCTACATCAGTGAGCTGCTGATCACTGGCATTTTTGTGCTGCCCCAGCCATGGTTAATAGGTCACTGCTTCCCACATTGGCACAAGCTGAGCTGGTTTTGATAGTAACAGAAAAAATGTAAAGGAGGTGTCACTAATTGCTGTTATTACTTTGTAACTGTCCAAGTATGACATTGGGAAGGCTTAAGAGCTATTGCCTGAATCTTTCATGAAAACCAATCTCAGTATAGGCATCTGCTTTTAATCCTCCTAAGTGCAGAAGGAGCCCCAAATATGAGGATGGTGAACATATTTGCTATTATAACAACCAATAATTCCCTTGACTCCAGCTATTTACCCCATTTATTCTACTTCGGGTTAAAAAGTGGTGGGCTTAGAGGGGTGTTTTTTATTTTGGTTTGGTTTTTTGTTATTTAATTTGTTGGTTTACCAAAAAATACATGGGTTTTTTTTTTTTCTGTATTTAAAGCATCTTTACTGTTTCCTGTTTCACTTGTTGCATTCACTGTCTTCTTCTTTTAAATTTCTCTCTGTGATGAAATTATCCCATATTGCTTTAAATTCTTAAGGCTTAAAAGGCAGGTAACTACTTTGTGCCATTTCCCAATTTAGAATGATAATCTGTTCCAATCTTACTCACTCTAAGATATTTAGAATTTATTTACGATTTTGCAAAATAAGAGCTTAAAGTTTCTATAAAATTATACTGGTTATACAACAAGCTAAATGGGTAGCAACTAGATATACTAGAGAAACTAAATATATTATTCATCAGCTAATATAAATATTAAATACTTTAAAATTTTGTGGTTTGTATTATCTTCTTTGTTTAGTTGCTTATATTTATGTATGGAGATAGGGGAATAACTCAATTTGTTACCTTGAGTATTTATAGGAATTTCAGTAACCATTTAAGTATCAAGCATCTCCATGTTTTACACTTAGAGGAAAACAAAATGTGTGGAGGTTTCCAAGGCAGCAGATGAAACAAGCCAACTTTACCATTGTTCTGACTTTTTCACAATGTCACTGTCTTGGATTTCACATCCAGATAGAGATGCTGTGAATAAATTCTATGGGTAAAGAAGCAGAAAATAAGGAGGAAAAGAGGATTTGCCGTGTGGATTCATTATAACAATGTGGAACACAGAGCCTTACACACACAGGCTTTCCGTACTCCCTACGGGATGTCTGTCTGTAGGCCTCTATCAATTTCTAGGAGATTTTCCATCTGAAAGGGTCCTCCAGTTAATTTCAAAGTATAGCTTGTTTTAGATTTATCTTTCTCTTACATCTTCACTCTTCTTTTCCCCTTTTCAAACCTCTGTTTAAAAGGGGGGAGAAGGATAGATTTAAAAAGAAAAAACCCACCAAAACAATGTAAACAGTGTTATGTGTGCATCTCCAGAAGCATTCTATAAAATACCACTGCTTCCTGCTGACTAAAAATACAACTTGCTGTATTCTTCTTGTCATTCATGGAAAATACAAGATATTAATGCACCAGTTATTCTTCACATACGTACAGCAATATCATCACTGGGGAACATGATGTTTCAGGCTGTCAGAATAGCAGAAAAGAACAAGAAACAGGTAGTGGAGAGCAGGAGGCAGATACCAGACTGTCTCAGCAACACAGACTGCTCAGAAACACAGGCTGTACTGTAAGGATAGTCTTCAATATACTGCATTTTACATTCAAATAAATGTAAAATGTGAAATCAGGTAAAGAGCAACTCACCTTGTAAGTTTCAAAGACTCACTCCAGTCTGATGCTGAGAACAATTCCCTCCTTATGCAAGTAAATGTCATGTGCACCAACATATAAATCTGCAGGCCACAAAGCTTCTCCTTTCAAATGTGATTTCTAACATAATTTTATTTTCTACTTGGTGAAAACAATCCTGCATGGAAATCACTTTGGCAAACCAAGTGAAGAGACAGAAAATGGATACCAGTAAGATTGTGTTGTGAGGTGCTGGTTTTAGGGTCATTAGGAATGTTAGAGAGTTTCAGGATGCTACGACTCTTCCTCCAAAAAATTAAATATTAAATCTGGATCTTTATTAGCTGAAAGGCCCTTTATCCACAATTCATGAGAAATGAGACAACATTTGGGTAATACAGGGTAACACTTCAAATATTTTTCTAAGTGTCACTGATCTTATCACCCCAATCTGGAAAAAAAAACCTGTTGAAATTGCATTGTAAACTGCTAAAATAAACTGTGTGACTCGGCCAGGAGTGAAACTAACTTGTGTCTTTAAAGTCAGTATTTCTCCAGAATCAGTGTAATTTAATTGAAATAGCTCTGCGTGTGTAAACAACTCCTTTGTTTAAAGAAGATTTCACTGTTTAGTTTGCCTTAAGTAAATGCTGCCTTTTGTTTGTCTGTAAAACATTTGATTAAATGTAAAGACTTACACAGACAGCTTCTCCTCATTACACTAGTGGCTGGAAAATAAGTTAAAATGGTGCAGGTATCTGCTGCCTAAGTATCAAGCAATATCATTTGTGTTTACAAGAAAAACCCATGGAAACATCTGAAGCCTAGTCATAAAATCAAACTACAACCCTCCTAACACCAAGATGGTATTTAAAAAGGTGTTGAAACTGTTCAGTACACCAGATTCAATATATCAATGTTCCTCACTTTCTTGAAAAAAAACTATTTTCTCATATTTTAATCAAACATTAAACTCCCTCCATGGTGAACTACTGTTAAATATGTGACTTTCTACTCCAATGTGTGGTTTAGTGTTTAGTGTTTTAATACGAGGACCCACACTTTATTGTGATCATAATGTTATTGAACAACAAAATAAGCAAGACAACTAATACATTATAGCATTATTTTTTTCACCAGCTGAAATGCTTTCATAAATCATAATAATTCATTCAATGTACTATAGACAGAGTAGAAAGTATGTTACATATCCCAATAGTTGCATTTACTATTTTAAAAAGTTGAAACCAAAAATTCATGTTTCGTCCTTTTTTCCTTGGAAGAACTCTTAAATTCACTTTCAGACTAACCAGAGTGTAAGTCCAGTCAAGGAAAAAAGCAAGCAGAACCATTTTTTTCATGTCCATAGGGCCATTTGCAGTGCAAATCCATACTGAATTAGCTTTAGATCTCTATACAAATAAGAGCTATACTGTTAGTAAACATTATACCTCTTATTTGTACTGTCAAAACACAGGAAGTAGAAATGGAAGGCAGGATGATTTTTAACACTTTGAAATCTGATGTATAGCTGCATAGGGGCTTTTTGTTTGCTTGTGTTTTCTGTGTACTTTGGAGAAGCTTTTCAGGATCAGGATAGAGATGCCAAGGGAGAGACAGCCAAGTATCCCTCACCCTCATTCTCAAGACAGTCAACTGTTCACAGTGCAATTAAGGGTGAAATTAATTTTGTTTCAGATCACTTTTAGTCACCATAGCTAAAATATAAGCTATTTCGTAAGCTTTCTTCAACTTATGTGTCAGTGTTGAACAAAACCTCTAATATGCTATTAAGCTAAATTTTAGTGCTTTTATCTAGTCCAATTCCAGGGATTTTTTTAAGTACTTAGTTCAAATGGAAATAATAATTGCTACTCATAAATGACATTAGTATTAATTTTTGAACAAATGTAAATATATTGGTGTTTTTCTTAAATAGCTCAAGGATTTTTGAATAATTATGTAATTCTGAGAAAGCTCTCATGTCAAAATATAAATAAATACTGCCATTAATTGTAACCTTTTCTTTTACAGTAAATGTTGATTTTTCCCTTCATTCTGAGTTGAGTTGTGTCAAACAGCAGTTATTTGTAAGGAAAAGAGTTTACCTTCAGTCCTCACCCCCAAAACCATTGTGTAAATTACCATTTCGAGAATAAGAACTGATGACAGTGATAGAGGATTTAATTCATCTTTTCTCAAGGTTAATTCCAAAAGTGTCTAACTGCCATCAATAGAGGTTGCAGTAAATTCTTATGTTGAGACCTAGAAGTCACTGTATGTTAAACATTAATCACATTGTATGAACCAGGTATGCAATTATATTTGCGGGGTTTTTTTATTACGTGTCTCCTTTGCTTAGGCAATGCTGGACGTAGCAGCCCATCATGGCTGGCTGGTGACTGCTCTGAACATAACCAACCTGGTGCAGATGGTGGTTCAGGGTAGATGGATACATGACTCATCCCTGCTTACTTTGCCAAATGTAGAGCTCCAGCATCTTTACCTTTTTCGGTATGTAATTCTTTTAAGCATTAGCAGGTTTCCAATTTATTTCTACTTTCTGCTGCTGATGGTGTTTGAATGGCATTGTTGTGCCCGAGAATCTTCGTTAACGAATCAGAAGCAGAGCTCTGTCTTTCACAGTGATGCTTTCCCAAATGGATTTTCTGTTTCTGTTTTCAATATTCATTGATTAATTAACCCCCACAGATTATTTTGAGAACCGTGATTCCAGACAAATTAACAAGAGACCACTGGAAGTGTTCCAAGTCCTAACAAATCTAACTCTGTATGTTAATTATCTCTTTATTTTAATCCATTATAAAACTACATTAGTATCCATCTTAACATCATAGATAATGCAAAGCTCTATAGATGCTTAGATGATGCAGTAATTAATGCTAACAAAAATAAATGACCACCCTTTAAAAACAGAACGCAGTATTGAGTTTTACCACCAAAACAACTGAATACAAATGTTTGCTTTCCCTCCCTGGGCATATGTTTTTCTGTCTGTATCAGGAAGTGGAGCCAAGGCCAAAGGAAGAGTGTGCATGGAGGTTACCAAGGACCTATCGAGTGTCTTCCCGAACTAATGGCTGCCTGCGAAGGAAAAGAGAATGTTTTTGCTTCCATTGTGGACAGTGAGTTGCCAGCAGCACACATTTCACAGGTAACACTTTCTATCTCTGACCATTATCATTGTGATTGGAAAGGAAGAGTAGTTGGGCAAAGAAATATTCTCTCTCCTTCAGTAAATACCATGTGACGTTCAGTATAAAAGTGCAACACGTTCATTGCTCTAATTTCAGGGTACTGCTGGCTTTACAGAAGTTCTTCTCTGCCTGTTTTCTTAATATTATTCTCACTTATTCCCTGCTAAGCAGTAACAGACTCTGGTTTATGGATGATATTACCACATCTCCCTGCTCTAAAGATGCTTCTGTAGGTCATTCAATCTGCTGAGTGTTATCCACCTTTTCATAGCTCTGCACTAGGAATACATGCATTGCAAATGTCATCATAGCTGGCTTCTGAAGTGGTCTGTCAAACACCATTTTTTGTGAGAATACTCTTAGTAAAAGATCTAGCACTCATTTTGTGTTTGAAACAGAAAAAGAAGATGAAAATTTCATACTTCATAGGGGAGGGAAAAAAAATACTGTTCCAAAATGTTGATCTGCTAAAGTCTCATTTTCAAGGCATTTGCAGCAAAGGATAGCTATATTCCATAGCATTCATCACATTCTAAGCCTATTGATTTCAAATAAATGTAGGAAAGATGAAAACTTCAAAAGCGATACTTTAATGTTTTTTATTTGAATGTTTAAAAGGACAGTTTGACTGTTCAGCTTCAGTTAAACCTTTTACTGATATGCAAACAAGAAGAAAAGTACTTAAATGTCTGTAACAGACATCTGCATTTGTAACCAAATTAACATCAAAATTTTGAATTAAGAAAATGTATTGACATCAAAAAAAGGCTTCCTTTAACAACAGATTTCTAACATAATACACATTGATTTCAGTCCAACTTTCAGATGTGATAAAAAATTAGAACATTGTTATAATTAGTTCAGGGAGAACTCAGAAGTAAACTTACTTAATTTATTTGCATAAATTGCCATTCTGTTATCTTTAAAAGCAAATGCAAATTGGCTCTGTCTGATATGATGATGGTTATTTGGCTCAAAAGTGCTTCAATTTGCGTAGCAATCTGGTGTCGTCTCTGCAGTGAGGCGATCCCAGGTAACATACAAATCCTGAATTATTCCAGAAATTAGTATGTTTAAAGCATCAATTTAAGTGCTAATTGCAGTAGTAATGAGAAAAAGCAGTACTACTGTGAGATTTGCATCTACTGCCCCATCAGTATGCCTGGAACGGCTGCTGACTGGCAGAGGATTTGGCTGCTAATTAAATAATTGTATGCATGGCAGTGTTCTCGTCTGATTCAATAGATGAAGATTAATCCTCAGATAAATATGTTTGGCTGGTATTGAAATGTCTTAGCAGTTTCTTCAAAAATAGCTTGCGTGTATGTGGTGTGTACGTTCACACTGTGAGTGACTCTATGCCTCTATATATCTATGTTTGTAAATACAGATGCATATAACAGGGAAAAACATAATGTCTTCCCATCATGTGAGGAGCAACTTTCATTTCCATGAGCTGGGAATGGCTGTATTGGGTATAGAGTGAAACCATGATTGTGTTGTGCAGGGCATTATAAATGTGAAAGCTTTATACCAATATGTTATATTCCTTGCACTATTTTTTATAGAAAAAAAAAAGTTTAAAACTATTGTAATACCTTGCAGAGAATTAAAATTCATATTGAGACTGCCTGTTGAGTGTCTTCATATGTAAAGTCTTTCAGTGCTCACATAGAGAGGGGCCAAGCAAGAGAAAAATTCTTCAACATCTATATTCTATGTTTTCTATAAAGAAAGAATATCAGACTAGAGAGTTTAAGCCTAGCATTCTGGCACCAGACATGAACAGAGCCAAATAAAGGGGTAAATATGACACTAAATTGCCAAAACCATTCTTTTCCTAAAAAACCTTTTACTTCTCACTCAAAGTATATTGAACCCATATCTTAAAGCCAAAGATTACTAGCAAGACACTGGTAAAAACAGCTTAAGCTTTACATATATTTCAGACAGATGGGAAAAGGAAGAAGTTTTACATTTGGAAAGAAGAAAATGCCTTTTAAGCAGATTGGTAATTAATTTTTAAATAGCAGCTCTTGAAGCTGCTCATGGGTTTGGAATATTAGGCTAGGTCCTGGGGAGATAGATTATTGGCAAAAATACTAATGATGTTCCCAAAGGTTTATGAAGAATTTTTCATTTGATTATAATTTGAATCTATGGCCTTGGTAGATAAATGTATATGTATAGTATATATCTGCATGTATATATTGGATATGTTGATAGATTTAAAAGGAGCTGATATGTTCTTGTGTCTTCCTATACAGCGAAAAAGCCCCATTAAAATTGTCAAAAAATACCTAAGCCACATGGGAGGCCTGAGTTTAATTTTACAGAATTTAGTATTATAATTCCAAACCTCAGTGAAAGTCGGGGAGGGGGTTTAAAAGCTGACAACCTAAATTCAAACTATTTAGACTAACCCCACTCTTTGGTCAAAGCTCTATGGTTCAGTGATTCCTTGTGAATCATATTTCTTTAACAAATCTCTTTCAGCTTCTAAGTCACTTAGGCATTAAGCACCTTTTAAAATATTGAGTTGATATTGATGTTTTTGAAAGAGAAAAAGGAAACTTCAAGATTGAAAATAAATAAATATTATCTTTACTTTGGTATAATCTACTTTTACTCTGGAAGTATCTGTGTTCCTATAATCTTTTCATTTTCACCTGCTACTACTTGACTTTTTTCCTTAGTGAGAAAAGCATTTCTTCATTTTCCCCACATTGCATGCATGATAAAAAGGCAGCCTGCTGTGCATACTGTATCAATGATCAAGCAGTACTAACTTTGCCTATAATTTTCAAATACACAAGACATGAGAAATCAAGGAATCATAGAATCCTTTAGGTTGGAAAAGACCCTTAAGATCATCAAATACAACTGTCACCTGCCCTCATAGGATGACATATTAAATTTGCTTTCTTATCTAATTAGAAAGTTACTCAGAGTTACTTTAGTTTGTTTGTGTTATGAAAACTGCATGATGACATGACAGCCTTTGACAAATAGATTATGTTGGGATTGTATGATATAAACCAGCCCAAATCATAATCTTCACTGGACTATGGTGAAGCTAACAGGTAATGCCACTAAAGGAGTTACTACATTATGATCTCTGCTGCAATTAAACTTTATTCTAACATATTTGTAACAGGTCTTGTCCTTTGAGACACATAAAAGCTTTCAAGCTTTTATGTAATTTTGATACAAATGATATCTAAAGTACAACCAAAGAGATGATCACCAGGTTGGTTTATATCAGAGTGCCTCTCCTAATCTCGGCAGAAATACTCTGCTTACACACACAGAGACACAGTGGGTCTGTAGAGTTCCTACCCTAAGTTTCTTCTTAAAAACCTTTACATTGAACATAAAATCATTTTCCAGCTGAGATGTTCCTGCTCAAGTTGTCATTTGGTGTGATTTGCTGGAAGCAGGTATAGTAGTCTTGTGTATTATATGTATCAAAATCACAGCAACAATTACTTAGTTAAGAATGTCAGTGGTATTTTTTTCACCTTCTTCAAAGTGCTGTCTTTTTTCCCCATTTTCTTTCAGAGCTGGGAAAAAGAGAGATGTATTAATTCCTTAAAGTCCTATCTCTTTAGTTTCTGTTACAATTTTCCTGTCATTTCGCAGCTAAGACACCATTAAGAACATTGGTGCAATTTATCTGTGTCCCCTCCTTTTACACTGCAGTTCCTGAGCGCTCACAGCTGGCCCTCCCCACCTTCTGCACTGAACAGACACAGCTGTTCATGCAGTACACAGAAGAGGAAAGAGAGAGAGAGATTAGTTTGTAGCTGAACCCAGTTTTCTCATTTAGTTCAGCCAGGCTCTGGTAATGCAGCCATTTTAATCCAAATAAGCCTGTGCTGCAGCCGAAATGGGCAGTCCTGCCCTCTCCGTGCCGCTTTCACCTCCCCTGACCCAGCTCACCGCACAGCTGCACAAATGCTGCGTCTGCCTCAGGCAAGGAGGTGGGAATGAGCATCTGGGGACAAGGGGAGGAGGAGGAATCCTACCAGCCCTCTCACTGACAGTCAAAGTGGCCCGTAGCCAACTGGCTTCATGAATGCTTGTGCCAGCAGGGGAGGAGGCTGGACCACTTCTTTCAGTGGCACTGAAGGCTCATGCTTATTCAGAGTTGCAGGATTAGAGAATATGTTGCCACAATCAGCTTTAAGCTGATCTAAGTTCGTGCTGTCACCAAAATGATTAGCAAGCTGATCCATCTAGCTGCACAATCCCAGCATGGCAATGCCAACATGCCAGGGATGGAGACAGGCACAGTGAGCTGGTGGGGAGAACCCTGGAGAGAGAGACAGCACCACCTTTCCTAGGGCAGCACAACCTTAGATCTGCTTTCCCTGGCTGCTGTATCCCTAATCATGCATTGACATGCACTATTATTGTCAGTATGACTCCATGTGCTATTATTGTCAGTATGACTCGTGGCAATGATGTCTGCAAAAAGCAAACTGAGCTTTCATTAGGCCTCTAGGCCTTCCAGCACAGAAAAAGTAATCAGACACATCGAGACAATCAGACACATCAGACACAATCTAAATGAAAATACATTTTGTTGAAACTCTACATGGTCAAACCCATACTTGAAAAATAAAATATGCTTTAGTCTTTTTCCAGATAAAACATTTCTGCTCCATGCTATTGCCCATGTGACTATGCCTACCCTCTTTGTTCCCACAAGTTCCCATTTTGGCGTCTGATGGCTCTTTTCCAAGACCAATATTCTTATTTCTTTCTTCTCCTTCCCACCCTCTAGCTTTTCATATATGCTGATTCCTGTTCTTTTCTGGGGATGGAGGGGAAAGATGTCAGGGCAGAGGGTGATTCTTGGTCTTTAGTTTTTTTCTTCCAGCGCCATCCTCATCTATCTTTGTCAGCCATAGAAAGGCCACAAATCACTGCCTCCATTCCACAGCCAATAGCATTTCTTTTTCCTAACAAATTTCATTGCATGAACGTGCTGATTTTCTTTTTTACTAAATGAAAGCCTACATTGCTCCCTTCCATTTTTGTCACAGCTTCTCAGAGCTACTTTTCCTTGTCTGATAGAGACCAAAATGAGAGAAACATAGGGCTGCATATTCAGGATGCCTTTTTAAGGTTAAGAGTGTCATGTTGAGCTACACAGATTGTATCCTCTAACAACAGTTCTCTGCACAAGGATGAGAAAGTTGACGACCTGTTGTAGTTCAAGGGAGACTGCAGAGACTTAAAATTCCTCAGGAAGCCTCTAAGAAGGAGAGTTCAAGAGGATCGATGCAAGAAAACCTCAAAAAAAAATAGGGATAACTTTGGATATGCAGTTGAACTTTTGGTTAATTATCTGAACTGATCCTCTGAACTCTCTGAGGTTTGCCTATTGCTAATTAGCACTGCAGTGACTTGTTCTTTATGGATTATGCTAAGGAAGTTTAATTTAAAACTTAATTATACTAGTTTTTAAGTGGCTTATAGGGAAAAAATACTTTAATCGGGAGCAGTAAGGAATTTTTTCTGTGTTCAGACATCCGTAATCTTAGCAAGGCATGTGTAACGTGCTTGAGGAGTTTCACATCTGTCTTATTTGCTAGGAAGAAAGTAGCATAAGAGGTTAATCAAAAGTATTTTATGCTTATGATTGAGAGTTGTACAATTATATATATTCTAATACACAATAAAATATTATTATTATAGAATAAATATGTAGACTGCACATTGAATTATTGTTAGAGTGGCAATGATTGTATAGATTATCTCGTAATCCATAGGGATCTGTTTTTTTCTACAGGCTTGGAATTTCTTGTGCCGTTTGCCAATTCTGAACATCAGTCTGAGCATTAAGGGCAGTTGGGATGATGCAGTTCAGCCACAGAATGAAGTGCCTGTTCCTTCTTGGACAACAGACACACGAGATGACAAGAGATGGATCAAACTGCATGCTGATCAAGAGTATGTGCTCCAAATAAACCTGCACAGAACCCAGATGGGGTACCAGGTAGACTTATCTATCATTTCCTTCCCTGCACAAGTGTCCAATAATTCATTTACATTGTCAATGATGCTTTATACAGTATAATAGGTTTCTTTATGGTTTAAGTATTATGTAAGTTATAAGCACTTTCTATATTCATATTCTATATTCTAATACCTTTTCTGTATTCATAGTGAAGAAAATGGTTTTTTCCAGGTTGCAACAGGATAGTAAGTAGGCTCTTAAGGTAAAATCCTAGACCAAGTCAATGAAAAAAAAAAATCAAACTAATTTATAGGCTTTCCAGTTATGTTCACAGGTGCTTCCAAACTGCCTACAGACTCACACCTATAAATATGTTTCTATTTGTAACACCTCCTCAGGCCTTTACTGAGAATATTTTCCTTATATTTTACATCTGATGCTCTTTTGAACAGCTCCTAGAACAACTTCCACGTACAATTCTTTCCCACTACATTTCATTCCCAGCCCTTTGCCCATTTAAAGCACATCTCATTGCCTTCTGGGCTGGTCAGCTCGCTGGGCCCTCAGTAAATCTTGGTGTGCCAATTCAGAAACTCCAGGAGCTGCACTGTTTCCCAGCTGCTCTGCCCCAGCAGCAGTACCTGGCTGTGTCTGTGTGTCAGATCTGAAGAGAGCTGGACCTGCCTTCATGCACTGCTGACAATGGAGCTGTCACTCACTTATCCAGGCCTTTCTCTGTCATTTACATACCATGAATGACGTATGGACCACCATGGTTATAATTTTGGTAATTAATTTCTCTAACATTTCAAATAATTAAGAATTATAATTACCAGCATTTTGGTAAGATGCAAAGAGCCGAAGATAAAAGTAAAGAATAGTTTTAGATGTTAGTTCTGAGACTCTTAAGAAAATTCCATTTTAATAATAATGGAGATATATGTGTGCTCTTGAAAATCCTGAAGTTATCTTACATTAGTTAGGAATTATATTTGAAAAGTATTCTTGTTTCTCAAAAGACTTTTTTCATGACTACAGCAGATTCACTATAGTTGCAAGGGGAAACTGTCTTATTTTAGGAAGAACAAAGGGCAAAGCTCATACATACATCATTCTTTTTGCTGTGCCAGTTACTGGCAGAGACTTTTCCTAAGCAGAAGCCATGGAAGTGAAAGGAGCAGAATCATTTCATGCAGTGATCACTTTTTTATAAACCTCTCCTAGAATTTGATCCCTCTTTTGTAAAAAACAGCTGGATCAAACTGTTCCTAAAGCTTCATTGCTGTGGTGGTGTTTCTTCTTCCATATAAATCTTCAGTAAAACCTTTTCCTCTAAAAATGCAAAATGAATGTTGATTAAGCGTGCATCATTCTGTCTTCAGCTTCCAGCAGTAAAGTCACTGTCTTAAAGAATCACTGAAATAATCTTTCCTTTTGCTATACCAAACTCTACTAAGTGTTGGTTTTGTCTTTATATTAATCTTGAATAAAATGGATTAGCTTTATTTAAAGATGCTAGGTTTACAATTCACGTTTCTGTATTGGGAATATATTAGATAAAATTACAGAAAGGGAATAGTTTTTTCATTCAAGTTTTAGTAGTTTACAAAATAAGTGAAATAATATCTTCTATTCTGGATTTTTATCTGTGGACTGTAATTTTTTATTTTATTTTTTTAACCCTTCTTCTAGAAAGAAATAACACTATTTTAGTCTAGCTAAATTATAGCCTTACCTAACAATTTACAGCAATATGGTTGTGAGGTGTTTCTCATTCAAGGAAAAATGTCATTTTGGAAAGGTGAATTCTAGTTTTCCTAAGCTGTTTCTTTTCCCCAACAGGGAAAGCAGGACAGTAAAGCAATGGCTCCTCGATTCCCCAAAGTTAAGGATGAAGGATGGTTTTTGATATTGGGAGAAGTTGATAAAAAAGAACTCATCGCCCTGAAAAGAACTGGATATGTCAGAAATCGAAATACTGTTTCCATTGCTTTTTATACTCCAGAAACTCCTGGAAAGTATGACAAACTCTCAGATTCTCTTATGTTATTATGTTTTCCAAGCAATCAAGACCCAATTCCCAAACTAACAATGCTGGTTTTACTTTTCAGGTGTATCTACACCCTGTATCTCATGAGCGACAGCTACCTTGGCATGGACCAACAGTACGACATTTACCTGAACATTGTACCAGCACAAGGCCCCACGGAGGGGACTGAGGCCAGGAGCCACCTGGCCTGAAGTAAGGCTCTCTGCAAAGTCCACTCAGTCAAAAGAACTGGTCCTGCAACTAAGACATCTGGTCATTCTGGGACATCCAAAAGTGCATCTGCCTTACTGGAACCACCTTCAAACCTCAAGACAACGGGGACACCGAAAGTGACTGCTGTATTAACTCTGATGACACCGAGTTAGCCACAGTGGCCTTACTCCTTTATGAAGATTTGTCTTTTCTTGTTTTATCTTTCTTCTCTCAGAAGTCAGATTGTTAGTTGAATTTTAAAACATCAAAATAAATGACTGAACAGTACTGTAATTTGTGCAAATTCAGGGCTATCATCTTCATTTTGAAAAGTGTTATATAGCCTGTCTATTAATAGCATTTAAATACTCAACTTTTTTAATTTATAGGGGAAAATACAAAATTTGATCTAAGAGCTGCTGAAAATATTAATGGATGTGTTATATTTCATGTTTAATAAAAATATTCCCAGAATGTTTTGACTGTATTTGTAGGTGTAAAATATGGGAGATGTAGTAAAAAAATTCTCTTCATGCATAGTACATTTTGAAAATGATACTCTAAAGAAAAATGTCACAAATTTATATTAATTATATGAGCAGTAAATGTAGTTATAAGGGCAAGCTAAATCATAAAAAATATTTCCAGTATAGCAATGATGCAATTTATGTAGATAATTATTAAAGTTTACTCTTTACATGTATGTAGATACATATACACATATATTACATACATGCAATTTCCTTAGTGTTCTTTCCTGAATTTTGTAGGACTAAGGCATATAAAATTGGGTGTCCTGTTCTAGGGCTCAGTGCTAAAGTCGGTGACCAGCTTCTGTAAATAAGGGGGCATGAGGCTCCAAAAATGGGGGTTGCAGCAGAAGGCATGATGAGCAATGAATCTTTCTGCTAGGCAGAAGAAATTGTAAGAGATGCGCAGCTCTGTGATAGTACCTGCAAGGCATAAATCTGAAGGCAGAAGGCAGCAGCATCTATCTTGTGATGAGACTATGCATCCTGAGGCCAGTCCTCAAGAGGATTCAAGATTCTGAGCAAGTACTTGGAGCCAACATACTTAAAGAAACATCAGTGCATCTTCATTCAGATAGACTAGACCTTAAACTGAATATTAATATTTGCACTTGCTCAGCTTTGCATTGAGCTGATAAGCATTACCTCTCCAAGGGATCATTTTGCTGTCATTTCCATTGTATTTCACCAGATGAAAGAATACAGCAGAGTTGTTACTAGAAGCTTTTCAGGAAAAATTGGCACAGGTGATGCTGCACCTACATAGAATCACAGCATGGCTGATTTTGGGAGGGGCCTCTAGAGGTCATTTGGTCTAACACCTTTCCTCAGGCAGGGCCAGCTAGAGGCCAGGACCACATCTCCAAATATGGAGACTCCACCACCACCCTGGACCACCTGTGCCAGGGTTTGGTCACCCTCCCAGTTAAAAAAAGGTATTTCTTGCATTCAAGAGGGACTCTTCTGTGTCACCGACAGGTGTGCCTGTTGCCTCTGGTCCTGTCACCAGGCACCGCTGGAAAGACCTTGGCTGTGTCCTTATCAACGTCTTCCATTCAGATACCCACTGACAAGATTTCTCTGAGCCTTCTCCAGGCTGAACAGTCCCAGCTCTCTCATCCTTTCCTCATGTGAGAGATGGTCCAGCCCCTTCATCATCAATTTTATGGCCTTTTGCTGGACTCTCTCTGACAATTCCGTCTCTGCCTCAAACCAGACATGGTGCTCCTCCACTAGTGTGGCCTTACCAGTGCTGATCACCTCTTGACCTGCTGGCAGCACCACACTGCAGCAAGCAGAAGGCTGGCTGATTTTAAAAGCTCAGTAGTTAACCAGGAATTTATTTCATATCTGGCATCTTTAAATTGTGGGAAGCAATTTTAAATTGAACAGTTCTGTACTTGAGTGTATGCATGCTCTGATCATATTAAAAATGTTATATTTCATTATTATAGGTAATATATTACCTATAGAAATGTGCCTAAAAACATGGAACGATAATAGAAAAAGTTGTCACTAAATTTAGAGATGGATAGATGATAGATAATACAAAAGCCACCTTTGCCATTTAGACTATATCAATGTAATATGGTGTTGTGTCACAGAAGAAACAGATTTTTTTCACATTGTTAGGCAATAGTTTGGCAATAGTTTGTTACTCACACATTGTGTTAGACCATTTTAAAGAGAATTGTTTCATCTAATTTGAAAGTTTAAATTTTCAGAGAAATTAAGTCCTTTCTTTGGAAAACTTGGCTGAAACAATACATTGTCCCTCAACAATTTTAATTAATTAGGAAAAAGAACTATGCCACAGTCAAACATACCAACATAGTGATGCTAGCTCTTATTGCTTTGTAAATGCACATCACAGAAAGTCTAACTGCAGAGTAGCAGACAATAGCTTTAGTATTCATTATTAATCAATTAAAGAGTTTCTGTAATGTCATTTGTGCCATCTGTGCTTTGGTTTGGAAATACTGTATTTCCTAGTGTATTAATTGTTTTTAGAAATAGTTTGGTGGCATTTCTAAATAACATATTTGAATAATTTTTGGGGGTTTTTTTATGAAAGTATTGGATTCATGATGACAAAGTCTAAAGTAATACAGAATTAATTTAAGCAAATTGATTAGGATCAGTATTTAGCTGAAAAATCCGAGAGAAAGAATTCTGATACATTTGTAACAGCTGCTTAGAAGGAACAATGAATGTGTTCAATCCAGTGATATCTCATGGTGAAAAGTGAGAATAGCTGTCTAACAAAAGTATGAATACCAAACAGAATTTAAAAAATAATAATAATAAATAAAAAATATTTCAGTGATGTAATAATCACCTTTATGGATAAATGAAAGAAACAGCACATGGAGAAATTTTTAATATTTTTTTAATGTAGGTTTTTTTAATGTAGGTTTTTATTTTTACTCTCCTCTTCCCCTTCTAGGAGCAGCTGCCGTCAGTGCATGCCTGTTCCGGTGTGAGACTTCTTCCAAAACTTGGAAAGCAACAAAAAATAGGCACATCTTGTACATCAAGACATGTTTAAGTCTGCCTCTGTGGCTTCATCTTTTCCCAGCTTTCCTGTCCTAGTCTAATAACAGCATCACAGCAGTACCCAGCAGGAGCTGGAGGAGGTTTGAGTATGTGCCACCAACCACCATGCCCCATCTCTGATACTGAATGTATCAGTGGCAACGTGAAGCCATCCTCACTACTGCAGGTCTTTTTCTGTTGTAAATTGAATCTTTGAAGGCCCAAATCTTACCCAGATGAATTCAGGAGTTTATGCTGATGACCCAAAATTCCTCTTGTCATTGCTTCTAGAGATCACCTCCAGATGGTCATCCTGGAGATAACTTCAGGAAGTCTCTTATCAGCCTTCACCCTAGAGCCTAGTGGAAGACTTCAACACTCACAGAATAGGATGCATTCAAAAAGTAATGTAAATTATGTAATTCAAATTTTCTAGTTCTGGAGAGCACACCTAAAGACAAGTATCCCATGTGCATCTGCCCTTACTCATTGCAGTCTGAGTCCAAATTCCTATGTTCTTCCCTCAGTCAAGAGTCTATGGTATTTTTAAGACAGTTTGATTACTACTCCAGGAGGCATCAGCTCTCTTAGAGGCTTATTTATGGACAATGGGTTTTGAATCATCACTCTCCTGTCTTGCCTCCCCCCATCCCACGTAAGGCAAACTTTTCTTTAGCTCCTTCTGCTACCTGTAAACCCTACAACCTCACCTGTTCAGAGATGCTATCTGTATTACTGGCAGTAAATTATCACAGAAGTAATTATTTAAGATCACCTTTCTATGATGTGCTATGGACACTACTGTAGCCTATGTAGTAAGTACTGAAACAGAGAAAAGTAAGGCAATACAAGCAAAGTGTACATATTTTTTCCACAACCTAAAGGTCTCCAGCTAAATTGCACATTTTGGGCTTGGTTTAGTTGCTTACATGCAAAGATCTGGTGCCATTTAACATGAAATATCTCCTCTGGCCTCTACATTCAGCTTCTGAAGAACATACCCCAGCTGCAGAGGGTGTGAAATGTAGTGCTGTTGTATCTGTCACCTCTGTGGATGCCTCAGGTAACCCAAGTCACCTGAAATAGCATTTGATATCTACATTCTGGTAACCACATTGACTCCCTGTCACATTAGTCAGGTTTGCAACTCAGTTGCTTAACTGCATCTAATGAAATTTAAAATAAACAAAAGATATTTTGGTTGCCACTGCAGAAGACAGGAAGACTTTCATAGGTCATGTGTCACTTCTGTCATCCCCATGTCACAGGGGCCCAGTAGTATGAGGTGGATGGATTCAATCTTAATTAGCTAATCAAGCCCACACTATTTTGCAAGTGTTCTAAAGTAACTCTTCCAAGCAATTTTATGAGGAGAATTCTCCGCTTCATGAGAAAAAATATTTTCTGACAAAAGGTTTGGACGCCATAGGATGCCCAAAGAGAAAGGTGAGCTACAGAAAGGTTAGTAGGGCTTCTGCTGAGAGAGCTTCTTCTGTCTATTTCTACTTATATACCATGTATTTTCTATCAGTTATGTCTGACTCCCACCTGCCTTTCTAAAAATGAATCCTGTTAAATGTCATGTCTTCTCAGACTGCACTGCACTTCAGCAGTGAACAAACCAAGTTTGTTACTGATGTCATACGTTGGTAGTGGTAAGAGGTTAAGCTGCTTTCACATGTAGGGTGTGAAAGGAAATTCTACATTAAAGGAACTTTATTAAGTTGGACTAAATGAGTCTCTTCATAAATAATTCCTAGCTCTATGGTAAAGGGATCCTCCACAGTGATTACACCATCCTGCAATTAAATATGTTTACAATATGTTTTTTCCTTAGATCTGCTAATGAGCTCCATACTGCCTCAATGGAATTTGAATCCATGGCTCTCCAAGTCTTTCTTCTGCATCACTATTTCTAGAAAACCACAACCTTCTCTATTAATATGCCTCCTCAAAAATTAGGAGCATTAAAGCTTCACTAAGACCATGCATTAGCCTTCACTGCTGCTCTTCTCCAGCTTAGTCTTGTCCTCCCAAGACTGTCAATAAAATTGTGCATTTGAGTACGGAGGGGAAAGGAAAGTAAAAGATTTTTGCTATTATTCGTCTGCGAGAAAACCCATGAAATAAAGAATGAAAAGTGTTCTGGGATGAATATTATCATTCCAAGTCATAAGATTCCCACTAATTGTAATGATAGCAGAGGTGAATTGGGCATTTTTTTTAAATCACACTCTCAATAACATGATACATGTACAAATAGTTACAGAGCTATTAACTAGATGCTATTAACTACTGGTAGAAAAGGGAATCTGGACATATCACAATCCTTTTCTTCTGCACTCTAAATCTCTATGTGAAATGTGATGAACCACATTCTTCGCACAGTAGCAAATTTGCACCTTGGAT